ATGATAAAAGTCGACCCACCTCTTTCATGATGTTGGAGGTAAATTGCGTACCCATGTCCGACAGAACTTCTTTTGGAATGCCAACTCTGCTGAATATTTCTACCAATGCTTCTGCCACCGTCTCTGTATCGATGTTCTTCAATGCAACCGCCTCTGGATACCTAGTACTGTAATCTACAACAGTTAAAATATATCTATTGCCTTTGTCAGTAATTGGAGAAAGCGGACCTACCAAATCTACGGCTACTCTTTCAAATGGTGTATCAATAAGTGGCATTTTCTCCAACGGCACCTTCGTCACTTTGCCCTTAGGAAATGTTCTTTGGCATATGTCACATGATTGGCAATATCTCGTTACATCACCCTGGATTCCAGGCCAATAGAAATTCGACATGATGCGGTCTAGAGTCTTCTTTGTACCAAGATGTCCGCCTAGGATACTGTCGTGCGCAATCTTCATAACTTTCTGACGCAAAGGTTCTGGAACAACAAGTTGTTTATACAGTTTTTGATCACTAACCTTTTTTGAATGATAATGTCTGTACAACAGTCCTTTCTCAACACTAAACCATGTCTCTATATTTTCACCAATATTCTTCTTTCTGCCTGTCGCTGCATGCTCACGATACACTTTCAAGGAAGAATCGTCCATCTGAAGTTGTTTCATCTGATCAATTGTCATATCAGTATCCACTAAATCTGTAACTTTTAGCTTTTTCATACCTTTGTCTTCTTTTTTCTTTTGATTTCTTGTCTGTACAGCTTGAAGAATTTGACTACACCCTTCGCTTTCGTCCTTTCTACACCACTGTGGATCAGGATCCGTCTGATTTCTGGCACCATCGATGTTACCTATAATAAGATCGTAAACAGGTTCTTTCATACATAAAGCATTGATATTACCTGTGAAATAGGGAGTGTCGACATAGATGGAAGCTTCCTCTACTGTACGAACTGTGCCGTCTATCAAAACACATTTCTGCACTTGTCCAGTCAGTTGATCATCTGTTACTAAATCTCTCTTCACAACAACACCACTACAACCTGAGTCTCTTAACACTTTAACAAAGTTTTCACCGACATAACCCCTAGCAACGGGCATCGTTTCACAAACCTTACAGACGCCTCCAATAACAGGTAATACATGTCCACATGCGAGTTTTACAAGTCCGTCTGTGACACAACACTGCAACAGTTTATGTTGGGGGATGCATGCTGATCCTATGTGAGGCTGATTTTGATGCGATATTGCGTTGTCCATCCTGACTTCAGCAGAATTCTGTAAATTGGAACTAGAATTGTCATTAGATTTTATACAGTTCAACTCACAGTTATGTTGACTCTGTAACATCGCAGCCTTGTGAGTATTGTGCGAAGTAGGTACTGCTCGAGGAATCTTCTGCTTGGAGAAACAGTTTCTTGCCAAATGTCCACTTTTCCCACAGATGTAACATTTTCTCTCACCTTTCTGCTGTAGTGATCCTTGGTACATCTGCTGCTTTTGAATGGATCCACTGCCATTACTCTGAACGTTAGAAGTGCTTGATGGTTGCTTCTGAAAAACTTGTAAGTCTTTAGTGAATGAAGTATAACCATGAGCTTCAATAAATTGGTCTGCGAGATTTGACATTTCTTCTACATTTTTCGGATGTCTTTCTTTAAGATACATTCCCAACTGCTTACTACAACTGTTTAAAAACTGTTCTCTTAAACACAAATCTTTAAGACCGTCATATGTTTTAGGACTATCTGCTAAAGACAACCATTTCTCTACATAATTGTTCAGCCTAGCAAAGAATTGTGAAGGATTCTCACCCTGTTCTGGTCTGCTGGAACGGAACTTGACACGAAACCCTTCTTCCGTCAGTTGAAAACGCCTTAACAACGATTTTTTCAAGGAACCATAGTTCAAAGCCTCTGAAACTGGAAGTCTAGAATAAACCTCAAGAGCTTTACCTTTCAGGAGAGCACTAAGATTAATCGCCCATGAAGACTGTTCCCACTTAGCACACGAAGCAAACCTTTCGAATCTCTGTAAATATGAATCAATACAATCTTTAGATTCATCAAATGGAGGTAACTTTGGCAACTTAGCAAGCGATTGAGAAGCAAGACCTAATGGACCTACAGCTAATTCTCCAGCTTTTAATTTTTGTAATTCAGTTTCTTTCTTAAGTTTTTCTAATTCAATTTCGCTCTCAATCTTTCTCGCTTCTCTCTCTGCTGCCCTTTCCGCCCTTTCAAAATATTCTCTCTCTTTTCTGTCAACAAACTCTTGTAACTCAGTTCCTTGCAAACCTAACTCTTTTCCTAATTGTAAATACTCCATGGTTACAATATGCAACACAACAACAAACAACAAATGTGAAAATAAGAAAATGACAAAATGCATATGAAAAAAAAATAGTTTGTACAAAACCTGCGAAAAAAAAAATAATTCAAACAATAGAAATAATATTTCAACCAAAGCTTTTTCTACAAAACGTGAAAATAGTGCAGGTATACTTGGTAACAGGAAGTCTATCCCACCGCTGCCACCAAAAATGTCACAACTGACCTCAAGTTGTGATGGATTCTTTATAGAATTTACTAACCAAAATAAATAATATTTTGGAAGACCTCCTGTGTACCAAGAAACAACAAGATTTATAAAAATTAACAATAAATTTATCTACATATGTACAATAAACATGAAACCGGCCAAAAGTTCAATCATGGTCATCACTGGACAAATTCACACTCCACACCACGTCCATGGTCCACCATATTGTCCATGTTGTCCACCATAGTGTCCCGTCCGGTCCACCATATCCTAAGTAGCCTTACTACGTAACAAATCCTCCCGTCCGAATAAAGATTATATACAATTCTGGTCACCTACAATTTTCATAGGGTTTTCTAATAAAATGTTCAAAACACTTATCTGTTCAAAATACTAGATTTTACAAACAAATTACAAAAGAAAACATGTATTTTTGCCGTTTAACAAGTAAATGAATTAGAGCGTAAATATATACATTCTCGCTATATTGATAACAGTTTTACATAGAAAATTGCTATTTAAAGCTAACAACAAAAATATTGTAAAGTATAAAAACTTACTGAGCTGTGGCATTTTACAGATAAAAATTATACTGTCGGCCCCCAGGTCTTGCTCTCAACGCCGCTACAAAACATCCCTGAATCTCAAGATCACACAGCAGGGGAAACAGCTAGAACACACCCAAGTTCACACAGCATGGGTTATATAAAAGGCACACCCAAGATCACTAAGCATGGGTAAAGTATAACTCACGGCGTCCAGACCTCTTCTGACAAACACTAGCCAACACCCAGTATAAATAACTGACCAAACTACTCAAACGGGTTCGACGAGTATACGTTGATAAAAATAGCAACAAGTACAACCCAGTGACCAATAGTGCGTAAATGAAATAAACGATAACTCCTAATGCCCAAATACAGATAACTCTTACCAAAACTTGGACAATAGCTAATATTAAACATTGACACAATGTCACTTGTGACATAGGGCGTCATAAAAGGTTTTGATCCGATTCTCGCTACATCGTAGGGATTCTATAAATAGGGCCGAGCTAAGTCACTGTTCAATATAATTAGTCGTCACCGGTGTATGCTATACAGCAATTGGTATTGACGAAAATAATTATACACGTATACTTCTTCTTATACACATTTTAGCGAGGATTTAATTTTGGCATTATTAGCGAGGGTGCCAAGATCGCGAAAAATTTATTATCGCTAAAAATAAAATACCAATTTTTAAAAACAAATCGCCAAATTTGCGTCTGGCTTAAATTTTCACTTATACGGTATCAAAGAAACTTACAATAGTTTCACAGGTCAGTGCAGTATGCAAACACAAATACATGTGACTGCAATAAAATGTAAACAAAGGTATAATGCAAGATTCTAGTAACCAGCCGAAGTCGGGTCGCCATTTCACGCCGATACTCGTGACAATAAAGCAGTCAGGTGTAACGAATTCGAGAAGTATACCATCTAGTGTTGATATTGTTGATTATAATATCGAAATGGCGTATGCCTATTTACGAGTCGAGTTTATCTTTAAGTTGAATGTTAAGTTACATCAGAGACTTATATCAGTAAATAGATTTTTTAAAATCAATTTTACAAAATTTGGAAAATCCTATGGTTCGTTGAGTTTTGAATGTACGCAGGAAAGTCTCCTGCAATATTTTCTATAATTTAGTGCTACAATATACATGGTGAGCACTTATTCAGGTTTGCACGAGTCATTCTGTACAACCTGTTATTTGCTGTAAAAAATGAAAAGTTTCAGTACACATAAAGTAAATTTAACAGACAATTTTTCATTCGAACGAAAGTTCCCTTTCACGTTTATACATAGCGGTGGCACTGATAACTCACTGTGATCAGTATGCATGTATATGAAGACCATAATTACATACGCTTAATTTTGTGAATTTGATTTTATAAATGATTGATCAATATTGCTTTGTTTGTAATATTGTGTTAATATATATTTAAATGTGTTAGTCTGTAAGACAATTTAATCATTGTCATTTCGATCTTGCCATTATTTAAATGAATCCGGCTGTGTTTTCAGCATAGTCAAACTACAAATCAGGAATTAACTAAAACAAACATTACATGTAAGACTTATTTATTTCACAACAGTTTACAGCGGGAACAATTATTTTATTCCGGATTCTGACGTTGTCAGAGAGCACATGGATTTCCATCAAAGATGGTCGGCTAGAAGTGAAACCACACCGGTAGCCTTTGGAGTTGGCAAACATTAACTAAAGTTACGATTTGCTGCATTCAATCCTGATGAATAGATAACATAATTATAAATACTGGTATTGTTCTAGAATTGATTTTATAAAGGTTTTATCACTATTGCTTTGTGTGACCACTTGCTCTGGGATATCAAGAGATTGATAGTCTAAAAGCCAATTAGCTAGGACCATTTCGATCCTGTCCTAATTTAAATAAACTCAACAAATGTAGAATTAGGATATATGAATTACATTCCATCATCTAAGGCATGCTGATTATGGCTAACTATTTTCGTATCAGTTTGAGGGGTACTGATTTTGTAACAGTCTCTGAATCTGCCAGGGATTTCATGGATGAATTCGTAAAAGATGGCCGAGCAGAAGTCAAATCAGATGGTAACTACTTTGTGGACAGAAACCCTGCAATATTTCATTATATTCTGGATTATTTGTCAGGAAGAAAATTGCATCTTCCAAAGGGTATATGTGCAATTGAAGCAAGAGAAGAAATAGAGTTCTGGATGATCCCTCTGGAGGCTGTGCCCAAATGTTGTTACGAAGTATTGTACAATGATAATATGTCTAGCTATGAGGCGATCGAGGAAATGGAAGAATATATGGCACAAGGGGTCTGTCCAATAGAAACAGAAATAAAATGTTCTAAAGGTAAACTTCAGGAAGTTAGAGAAACTCTCAGCAGGGCATTGGTGGATCCAGGTTCCAGTTTACTGGGCAAGGTAATTATTCTTTCTTAATATAGATACATCTTGTGTTATTGGATGAAAAAAAAAGAAATGTGTCAGCATATATGACAATATTTTTATAAATAAATAAAACTACAAGCAATACTGATCAGCTCTATTTTATTTCAGTTACCTCATTCTTAAATATGTTAAGTACTTTTGTTTGTTTGCTTTTAATAGCTTCTAGAATTGTTTACTCATATTGAGACACCAGCAGTGGAGAGCTTCAAACTTAGACGTTTATTTGGAATCTCTGGCCCATGAGAAGCAAGATATCTTAAAATTTCATGCCAGCACTTTCTGTTACTCGGGGCCTCGGTAAATATTATTCCATGTTAAAGATCGATTTCAGCCTCACCCAGTACATTGAAACAGTTCCTTGACTCTGTAACAAATCATTCAACAACTTAATCACTCAGACGACTTATGTTCTCTGATATCAAAATTCCATGATTGGTTGGCAATTGAAATGCAAATTGCCAATCGGTTAACCATTAGACATTGCGACCAAATAACAGTCATCATGGCAATATTTGTCATTTAATTCATATTTATATTGAAACATTCTAAGGGCAGATTCACATGTTTTATTCTGAGTTTGACACACATGAGTTAAGAGGGATTATAATATGGGGTCTAAAACGTTCATCGGACTAAACAGGGAAAAAATATCAAAAACCTTCTGTACAATGTACAACAGGGTTTGGATTTCTGGTGTGAACAGTGTGTCATATGAAGCTCTTAATGTATTTATTTGAAATAATTTTAATAATGTGTTGCTGATCTGCTGAATCTTAGCAGCAACTTTTCAATCGATCAATTTAGCTTTTCTCTATCCAATTTATGTTAAATCATCTTCATCCTTTTAATTTCAAAAAGATTCTTTTTTTAAATTTAATATCATACTGCTAGTCTCTACTGACATTTTTAGATTATTATTTTCAACTATAAAAATTATTTCCTGAATTCATATGCACGTATCTTTCATTTAATGTCGTTGTTTTCTTAGATTTGGTTATTTCTGGTGGCCGTTTTTACCCTAACAGCAGTTGTGTGCTACCTCCTGCATTCGAACAGTGAATTCCGTGTCACAAGAGAAAACATTCCTCCAATACCAGATAATAATACATACAACTTCTTCTTCAGCAATCCAAAGCGTACAGTATTGATCACTAAAGTTGTTTCTAGGGAGCATATGATCTTGGAAATTATTTCTAACGTGTTTCTTTTGTTTGATTTATTTTTAAGATTTTTGATTACCCATCGGAAGAAAGCATTCATTTTGTCACCTCCTAACGTTATAGAGCTAGTTTCAGTGGTAATATCATTTTTTATCAGCATTGCTGATAGGAATCCTAGTATAGTCATCGATAACATAGCAGCCGATAAACTTATGGTGGTTTGTGGATTTATATACTCCCTTAGAATTCTCAGACTTTTGCGTTTAGCTGAAACTACTGCAGAAATGAATATTTTAAGACTGTGTTTTAAAAAAAGCTGGAAAATCATAGCTCTTCTGTTCATGGTGTTTACAATTTTTTCTATACTTTTTGGGTCTGGAATGTACTGGGCAGAATTTGAGAATGCAGAAACGTTCCCTAACATATTAATTAGTATTTGGTGGGCAGTCGTAACTATAACAACTGTTGGATATGGGGACCACTATCCAAAAACAACTTTCGGGTATTTGGTTGCATCTTTGACGGCTCTGTTTGGATTATTGTTGATAGCAATGCCAATTGCAGCTTTATCTTCTAATTTTGGCATTATTTATAATTGCTATACATATAAAAAGAAATATGCTGCTGCTAGGAAAAAATCCAAAAATTGTATTCATCCGTGTATTGTGAAAAAATAATAGCTAGGCAGGAAAACGATAGATTTACATGTAATCCTACAAACTATTGTACACATGTATATGAAGTATACATTTCATTTTGAAGAAGCATTACACTTATGAAAAGAAAGCTTTTAGTTATTGTTTTTATATCTGTTTTTGTCTATGCATCAAATGTCTTTATTTAATAAATTCAGTTTTAAATAAAACCTGTAATAGAGATATTTTGGGGTTTTTTTTACTGTACACCGCTTTGCACCTACAATTGCTGTCTATAGATACACTGGATGGATACTCTTTGATATATATGTAGATGATGGATTAATGAGAGGAAGCAGATGCCATGAAAGAGTGATCTCCCCAGAATGACTGGCTAAAAATTGTCCCACTCAATTGTTTTACATCCTGGAATTTCCCCATCTAACATATTTTTTTATCCTGAGTCGGGAGAGGGTAACAAACTTTATTTTAAGGATGGTTATGGGAATCTCCTGATTGTCATATATTTGATGAACTGATGATGAAATCTTTACTCTCCTGTTTGAAAATAGAATAAATTGCCCTATCTTCAAAGTATTGTTAATAAATTTGTGATACGTGTATTTACATGTATGCATACATTTGCAATTCATGCAATTGCAGCGTATAAAAGTTTAGATGTATGTTTTAAGCGCCTTTTTTCAATTTCAAAAAAGAATTCATCTGAATAGTTTATCAAATAAGTAGTTTTACATTTGATAAAATTATCCAAATCGTATTCTTTTTTAAGGGAATAACAATAAACAACCACACCTTTTTCTTTACTCCTCACTAAAACTTAACAGGAGTGAAGGAGAAACTTCAGGAGTGTTGTGCAACAATCTATTCGGGAAGTGGTGTAAATCAGATGTGGATACTTGAAAATTCCAAGGAATCACTAAATTTTACTGAAATCGACAACATAAAAACCTACGAGTTTTCAATTCTGTATAATCTCTACAACCATTCCCCATGGCAAATTAAAGTCCAGGCTCTTTTAATCATTGACAGCTACTTTTTCAATGAAAATGGAACTCGTAGTTTGCTAACCTTGTCATTAGTCTTAGGCAAAATTATTTTGTTAAAAAACATTCTGATTGTATTTACAAATACTCGAAAGATGCTTGAGTTTCTGATTACCAATATACATGTTGTTTTGGAGACATAATCTTCAAACAGTTCATTGGAATTGCTTTGGGTTCCAATTTTGCCCAGTATTAACAGACCTATTTTTGTATTCATATGAAGCAGAACTTTTTCGAAATCTTACACAAGAAAAGAAGAAATAATTTAATTTGGCCTTCATTTAGACATTTAGAAATACCGACAACGTATTATCAATTAACAATGGTTTTGCAAATTCTTATATCGATACGATATTATATAGTATATCTTCGGGAGCTTGCTATAAAAATACGCAGAGTATGACATATCTGTTTTATATTTGGGTATTTTACTAGAAAGGACTCTAATGGTATAATTTAACAACAAAGGTTTATGATAAACGTGCTGTTTGTAACGTTTTTAATCGTCAGCTTCCCTAACTAATGCAGCAATCACAAGATTATCATCTGCATACGGGTTTTATACATGTATCTCTCAGTTGATTGATTGATTGATTGATTATTTGTTGCTTAACGTCCTCCTCGATAATTTTTTGCTCATATGGAGAGAGACGCCAACACTTGATGATGGAGACCTGCAAATTTTGTCCTATACTCGGCACTTACAGTTATTGAGCAGTGAGAGGTCTTTATCGTACCAGCAGCTACTGCGACATAGGACCTCAGTTTAAACAGTCTCATCCAAAGGACCGTCTCTACGTCTCACAGTTGGATTTCAACCCGCAACGTAATTATAAACTCCTTGCAACTCCTTACCTCGCGACTCTAGAGCAGACGCTCCAACCACTGCACCACGCATGAGACTCTGTCAGTTGATTCGATACGCGAGAGCATCCTCTATAAGAACAATTTCTAAAACAAGCTATGTTATTGACAAACAAGTTGATGAAACAAGAATTTCAGCAGTTTCGTTTAAGGTAGGTCCATACTTTCAGAATTTTCTGTCAAACTGTTTATTTTTCAATTTGAAAATCTTGAATAAGTCATAATCTAACAAAAACACCCATAAAAACATATCTTTGCAGGTTAATTTTCATGCAATATGTCTCGGAGTATATACCTCTAAGAATTCAACAGCCAAAATTCAACATATAGAAGTGTAACATCATATTCTATTTAGCTATGTACCAAATCCCATCCAATTATGGTTAAAACTAAGGAAAATCATAAATATTCATTTGTCAAGAAAATATTTGAAATTTCTATTTGAAAACACTAAAAAATTGATGTTGATTCTGTCAAAATCTTTCAGAGAAAAAGCTCAAAATATCTTTAATTTAAATATTCCTCAAAATCTTGTATGTTTATATGCTATTTTTTCTTTACAATTATTTAGAATTATATCTAAGGTTAGCAAAAAAACATACTTTATTATGCTTGACCAGAAAAATTTTACAAAACAGCCTTTTGAACACCTATACCCCCATTTTTGGAATATCTATTTTTTTCAATCGTTCTTCGCAAAACTTATAAAAAAGTAAATTTAAAAAGATGATATAGGCTAAAAATTAAAGATAAATAGATCTCAAGTAAGTTTGTTTTAAAAAAAATAAAAATGCTTTAGGTCCATAACGGCAATTAAGAATTCTCTGTCTGTGTATGTACTAAATTACATATAGATCTTATGGACAGAGTGCAAAGTGGTTATTCCTATAAATAATGTACATTAAATGCTTTGTGTGCACAGTGACACTAACATAAACAAATATATACTTGTTACATTATTTTCAATCATCAAAAAAGATTTTATTTCAATAGACAAGGATAATCAAAATTTTATATTGGTGTGTAAAATTAAAACCGGATCCGTAAAAGTATGGACCTGCCTTAAGGGGTACCGATCCTCTGATAAGATAAATTACTTTCCAAAGATGGATACTATTAACAGTTTATTTTAAATGAGAGATTCCTTATTGAGACGTCTGAGTAGTCAGTTCGATCAAATCTAACAAATGAGGGAAACATTACCTTCTATTTCTTTTGCCCATACTTTTAACATTGTCTTACTATATTTACTAAAAAAAATTAATCCAGTTTTTTAAGCCTCATGATCAATCACACAATTTAAACTTAACAATAATTTATTAACATTAATATATACAAATCATAAAGTACAAACTTAGCAAGAATCTAAAAATACATACATCAGAGTGTCCGTTGCTGCACACAATGTCCAGTGTAATTATATCCCAGTCTCTTTATACACCTGTACATCAATGTTACTTATACGACAAATTATTGTTTATGCATCGAATTGACAGGGTATTTATACAGTACTATAAATCTAGAAAATTCTAGAAGTTGTAAGTACATGATATTACTGGAAAGTTCTGGACATACACAAAGTTCAAGAATGTTCTAGAAAAAATGACCGAACATGTTGACCACTCTGGAATGTTCAAGAAACTTAATGTTACTAATAATATACATGATGAAACAATACAAATACAACACCTCACAACACCTCCCCCCTTAAAAAGTTTGAATGTCAATGAAAACTTATATTGTACGTAAAGCAGCGTATATGTGACTAGAAAATTTTGCAAAGAAGTTTGTTTAAATCAATAGTACAATTTACATGAAAATTTATACATAATAGCAGTTTTATTTGATTGATGGAAGTTCTGGGTTGACATACAATTTCAGTTGTGAAAATATGCTTAAAAGTGCATAAAATAAATGTTCTACGAAATATTTACCAAATAAAACTGAAAAATTTAAAATGTACGTTTACCTATATTTGCTTATTGATTAGCACATTTAGTTGATAAAGTCATTCATAATGCTTATAGGAGTGGAATGTTCAAGATTAAATCAGTTAATTGTTACAAATAATTACTTGTTTTCCGCGAAATATATATTCATGTTTGTCATGAAACAATACAAATACAACACACTTTTTTCTTAATTAAAATAAAGAGATAATTCATTTCAAAAAATATGAACTACCATCACCAAAGACTTTTAAGATATTAGCTTTTATGCTTCTTGCAAAAAATACGTTTGAATGTCAAAAGATACAAGTCAAAAATTTAAATACATGTTTATCTTGAATGTGATTTGACATTGTATTTTTGGTAAACATAATATGCATACACAATACAAATTGCATTTGTGCATGTAAAAATTGGTAAATACCTAAAAATTAAGAGCAAGTGGTCATAAAAGAAATGTTAAAGTTTTGAAAATTTCAAACAAAGACTTTTCGGACATAGGTCCCCCCTTAAAAAGTTTGAATGTCAATGAAAACTTATATTGTTAAAGTAAAATATATGTATATTAATACAAATCTTATTTGTTCATGATACTCTGGACAAGGCATCTGCAATAACATTGTCTTTGCCTTTGATATGCTTAATTGTTATGTTGTATTCTTGTAACAACAAACTCCATCTAGTCAGTCTTTGATTTTTGTTTGACAATTTATGCAAAAATGTCAGGGGGTTGTGATCAGTATATACAAGAATTGGATGCAATGTAACATTCAGATAAACATCAAAATGCTGTAAGGCTAACAACAAAGCAAGGCATTCCTTTTCAATGGTGGAATACTTTTGTTGACATTTTGTAAGTTTCTTTGAAAAATAAGAAACAACTCTATCTACCTTATCACTATGTTCTTGAAACAAAGCTGCCCCGATTCCAACATCACTAGCATCAACAGTTAACTTAAATTGCTTAGAAAAATCTGGAGTTGACAGAACTGGATTGCTCATAAGGACAGATTTGATTTTATGAAAGGATTTTTCACAGTCCTTTGTCCATTCAAAGTTAACCCTCTTTTGTAAAAGATTTGTAAGTGGACTAACTACTGAGGAAAAATTTGGACAAAATTTTCTGTAAAATCCAGCCATGCCCAAAAACCTCATTAACTCTTTCTTGTTTGTAGGAAT